CAATGATGTAATCAATCTAAAAAGTTCAATTTTTTTTAAACTGACGAAACAATGATGAATGATCAGACTCAATAAATAGATACTCGGTAGATAAACGAGATCAATGTACATGAACAATGTATACAGATACAGCTGTGTAAATTTAAAAACAAAAATACATTTGTTTTATAAAGGTTTCTTCTTAAAACTTATTTGTAATGTTGGATGTGATTCCCTCCAACACAATTAATAATTAATGTTATGCATTATATAGACAATTGACGCCGATTTCAGCCTGCTTTTCTTTTTAAATTTGCTTCCATAGCCTTTGTCCAACCAAGAACTAACTACAAGGCAGCAGTTGTTTGATTTTGGAGTTTTTCTCTCCAAGATAGTTTGCTGTCCCCAACTAACGAGCCTCATCTGCCCAGGGGTTCGATCTAGGGAAGTTTGAAATCAGCGATCACTTTATCCCGACGAAAACTGAGTAACCCAATCAATTTTCAAACAATAAATATAAAACTACTCGATTTATCTTGCTGTAGTTTTAACTAAAAGAAAAGCCGTGCCGATGCAGTTTTATTATGTGTGAGTTACAAGATCTTCTTCTTCGCTCTTAATTGTAATGCTGTACATGATTTCTTTCAAGTATTACTTGTCATTATAGGTCATATGTTCCGTTGACTCCAATTTTCCGCCAGTGTCCAATCAAACACAAACTATAAGGCAGCAGTTGTTTCATTTAGGAGTTGTCTCTCCTAGCTAGGTTGCTGTCCCCAGCTATAGAGCCTCATCTGACCTGGGGTCGAACTCGGAACATTTCGGTTCAGCATTACCGGCCGACCATGCCGACCCCGTTACTAGATCACTTTCAATACAAATAATTAAAATGGGATAACACACACCCTTATAAAGCCAATGTGCGCACTTCTCTCCCTCTCTATGTTTCTTTTTCTCTCTCTCCCTCTCTCTCTATGTTCGCAACATATTTTGCGAAGCTATAAGATCAATATCTTCAGCAATATATGGAGAACATAATGATACGGATAATCTGTTGAAATATAGTTACACAACTTTAATTATCCAACCGGAGAAGTGTTCATTGTTGTAACAAGAACGCTATACAGAACATATAAGTAGCAAAAAAGGCTAATACAGTAAAAAATATTGATGTCACATGTAACAAATATAAAAATATCTTTGCGAAACAATGTTAGTAAAAAGTTTCAACTACGGAAAGTACACAATAATTATGGCGTCATTGATTCTAGGATAAAAATATAATTAAAAATCAATCGAATGTCGAAAATGATACACAATACTAATGACGTCATCTTCAATACGATTCGCTTCCCACATCTTCCACTATGATGAGATGAGCTATTTAATTCAAATTTGATTTAAATCTATAGATCTACTTATCAAGATGTACGCTATGAAATTTATACAACTTTCTCGGCAAAAATAATTTTAAAAAATTAGTTTAAAAAAAATATAAGAAAAATACCATTGAATAATCGGGATGTTAACGAAATCATTTACGTCACTTTAATCAATTAGGGCATTTAATAGGGTGTTGTGTTGACTAATAATGTATATAATTTAGTTTTAGTTTTTCTAATAGATATAGTAGCCTACGTTATTTTAAATATGTCGGATGTTTAGCTATTTAGTTATTTCTTTGCTTGGTCACTTTCAACGTGCAGTAAAGCACATTGCGTTTTCACCTATAACTATTTATAAAATATATTTCTCAACATTTTAAAAATTCAGGCCTATAATTCACGGGTAACGGGTACCGATGGCTAGTTTATCATAAATATGAAACATTTTTTGTATTATTTATCAATTTTTAAGTTCGCCATAACAGTGTCTTTTTATTAGAATTCTTAGAATTTTTTTTTTTATGCACGTTTCAATTATTTAAAAAAAATATTTTTTTAGTGTTTAAAATACCAAATGGCAAAAACGATAAAATTATTCTTCAAATCTAGATACTTAAGAGAAAAAAAATGACAAAACCACTCTCCAAATCACTAATTATATATGTAGAACGGGTTGTCGCAACTAGTTCCTTCTTTAACAAAGTTAAACTCGAGACTTATCGGTTCAGCAGGCTACTATTTGAAACACAGAGAGAAATATCTCTTAAATTACCAGCAACCGTCCCATAGTGTCTTTTATTTATTGTATCAAGTACTAGACATGTAGAGGGTTAATGGAAAAATAATGTAGTTGGGCACTCCCTCTAGTCAATAACAGTAACTGTAAAATCACCGTATAGCATATAGCAACGGATGAATGTAATTCTTAAGAAATTTTTAAGAAAAAAAAATTGATGTCCTAAAATGATATTGATATGAATTAGATGAAGAACATTTGCTTTGAATAAATAGAAAGAAGTATAATTTTATTAAAATATAGAAACAACACCTTCATCTGAATTGTAACTTTGTGACATTAAGATTAATACAAGTATATTGTCACAGCTCACGGAAAGTTAGTGTAGATTAAAAGAAATTAGATTTTTAAAAATTCCACGCATCTTATTCTAATTTCATAAATACAATATTGCTAAAACACCCATGCCCCAACATTTAAAAAAAAATTAAATTAAATTAAATTGTCTAAGATTACTGAATCAATTTCAAACACAAAGCGAATGCTTTTAATGAAAGCGTACATTTTGATACGATTAATACTCAACTGGGTCTAGCGGTAGAGAGCTGGACTGCTAACCCGTTAGTCTCGAGTTCGAATCCGGGTACAAGTCAGTAGACCGTCCCTGAGTCCACCCAGCTCTGATGGGTACCTAACTCACGTTAGGGAAAGTAAAGGCGGCTGGGCATAGTGCTGACCACACTATCTCTTCATATGCCGAGGTTGGTTACAGAAACAAGTGAACTCTACTTCACTTGCCCCATAGACCGTCAGGTTTGAAAGGGAAACTTTACTTTAATACTCAACTGCCTTAGAATTTTTCTTCTTGCTGTATCATGCACGCCCATATTATACAACAATAATATCTGATGTTTTCTTTTCAACCCTACCCCCCCCCCATATAAAGTCAGATAACTTTCCCTAAGAATTTTACCCCTCCTGTGATGTAACTTATCTAGGAACCCCCCCCCCCCAAATCTACGACACTCATCGGTAGGACTACAAAACATTTTTAAAATAAAAATGGAAATCACATAATTTTCGACCTGGTTACATACCGGTATCCACCTGATAACCCCTAAAGACACGAGCCCAATTAGAGATTCGATAGCTTGAACTCAATTAACTCAATTTTGTAGGGTAAACATGTAAAATAATTTTGAACAAAACGTAACTTCATGCTGACAAAGTATGACGATGTGTCGGAATAATTTTTTTTTGTAAAACAATATTACTGCTTCTATTTTTACTTAGGATAAAATTTGGTCAAATACCGTGTGTACAAAAGCGTAGGCCTACACCGTGTCAGAAAAGGCACACAATTAATGGCGCTTTTGTGTTAAAAAAAAGGGTAAGCAAGTTGAATCAACCTGTTCATTGAACTTTTTTTCAACGGTAAAATATTAGCAGGAAAATAAGAATAAAAGAAAAACAACATAGTGTTATAAAACATTTCTTTAAACCACCACCCAGGTCACAGTAACACAGTAACACAGTAACACAGTAAAACAGTAACACAGTAACACAGTAACACAGTAACAGAGTAACACAGTAACACAGTAACACAGTATAACAATAACAACACTCTACCCTGTTAGCCTTGTATTTAGATAACTGGCTAATTGATGATAACTACAAAGTAACCGATCAACGGGGTGAAATGACGCAAATGTAAACTGAACGCACGAGATGTTTAAGGAAAGTTGAACTAAATCTAGGTCAGGTTTAACCGATGTTGAACTGATCTCATGACTTTTAGTCAAACATTGAGCAAACCTAGCAACGGTTTAACAAACGTCTAACCGTTTAACTCCGTTAAACAAAAAATACATTCACCCTTGATGGATTTACGGAAAATTAAACCTATCGCAGGGTAGGTTTAACATAAGTTGAACAAGTTTAATATGAACACCCCACCACACACACACACACACATGCAAAGATCCACACACGCATTCACTCACCCGCATACACACACACACACTCACGATGGTTTCAAGTACAGTTAAACCGATGGCATCTTCACACACACATACACAGCTACACTTGCACACACATTCACATACACACATACATACTCACACACAGGCACACACACAGCTGCACCCGCACACACATTCACACACACACACATACTCACCCACAGACCCACTCACACAGCTACATTCTAACACACATTCACACATCCATACACACACTCACACACATACATACTCACACACAGACCCCCACACACAGACCCCCACACACAGACCCCCACACACAGACCCACACACACAGACCCCCCACACACAGACCCCCACACACACAGACCCCCCACACACAGACCCCCACACACACAGACCCGCACACACAGACCCCCACACACAGACCCCCACACACAGACCCCCACACACAAGCCCACACACACAGACCCCCCACACACAGACCCCCACACACAGACCCCCACACACAGACCCCCACACACAGACCCCCACACACAAGCCCACACACACAGACCCCCCACACACAGACCCCCACACACAGACCCCCACACACAGACCCCCACACACAGACCCCCACACACAGACCCCCACACACACCGACCCCCACACACACAGACCCCCCACACACAGACCCCCACACACACAGACCCCCACACACAGACCCCCACACACAGACCCCCACACACAGACCCCCACACACAAGCCCACACACACAGACCCCCCACACACAGACCCCCACACACACAGACCCCCACACACAGACCCCCACACACAGACCCCCACACACACCGACCCCCACACACACAGACCCCCCACACACAGACCCCCACACACACAGACCCACACACACAGACCCCCACACACAGACCCACTCACCCTGGTCTCCGTGAGGCTCAATGCACTGGACAGCTCGGCCACGTCGATGCTGCTGAGGTAGTGTGTCCTGCGGAATTTGTCCTCTAGGACCACCACCTGGTGCTGGGTGAAGGGGACACGGGGGTTGCGGCACAACTTCCGCTTTTTGGCGCCCTCTTTTTTCTTGGTTCCTGGAGATTTGATTAATTAACAAATGTACTTCGTAGCTTAGCATATCTTTTGAAATATAAGTTACAATCTTTGCTTTTTGCTTGAACGACTTATAATAACTCTTAGTTCATGGAAATATTTTTAAAAAAATGTTCATAGTTATTTTAATAAATTATTTTACATACAAATTAATTATATTATTTGATTTTGTCCAATAATTACTGTTATTGCAGCAATTGAACTGGTACTTCATTTTACATACCAATACATTTCAATATTTTCTTTGGGCTTTACCGATAATTAATTAAAGTAATTGAAAAAAAGTTGTCAATAAAAAAAAACAATATTTATATTATAAATTATAACTTTATCCAAAATTTGTATTTATTCGTGGATTTAGAAATGTAGTTAGTAATTTAGAAAATAAATTAAATTTAAAAAAAAAGAATTACGATATGTCATACTTAGTCTTAATTCATGGATTTAGAAATATAGTTGGTAATTTACAGGAAAATAAAAAAAATAAAAAATCAATTTAAATACAAATATATTACCACATTTTCTTCTTGCACTAATTAGTCATATTAGTTACATAAGTGTAATGAAACAGTTTTTGTGTAAACAGCCATTTTATGCATTTTTTTTGGTGTAAACAGCCATTTTTATGCATTTATTTTTATTTAAACTAAAGTTTTAGGGGCCGCACCGTGTGCTATAATGTTGATGTGATTTTAAAATAGTGAAAGCGACATACAATATATACTGTGTGCCAATTATCTTTACATTTCTATCATTTACAAGAACAACATGAATTTGTTAACAATTGAATGAATCCGGATTCTGAGACGAATTTTGCCGAGTATGTAGTGCTAGCTTATTCTAATACATTAAATACATTTTAATGTTTAAAATAAAATAAAATAATATAATTTATATAGCTTGCAATAATTCTAGTTACAACGTAGGATGGATTTTTATTAGGCAAAGTATGTGTGGTTAATTAATGTTGTTTCTAAAATTTGTACTTAAACATTTTTGAAAACAAAAAAAAAAAACAACTTTTGAGCGCTTTATGTCTGAATCAACTTTGAAAATAATTTAATACTTGACTACAATGATCTTCTAAGGCAAATTCATTATAGCCTATATCGTCAGATGTCAACAGATATCAATTTTAGGTTTGGATTTACGTGATATATTTTGTGTTTAGGATGATTTTTAGCTGTCTGTGTTTGTTATAATATATTAACACAAACCTGACTCTAACATCTATTTAGATTTATTTCTTTGTTGATTCAACACTTTTTGTCAAAATTATTGAAATAAAATATTATCATCATTAAATTATAAATTTTAGAGGTAGGCCTTAAATGTAATTTACTTATTTCTAAAAATTTAGCAATAGTACATGGCTTAAAATATTAAAATTCTAAGTAGCAAAAAAAAACAACAACAAACAAACAAAAAGTAACACCTACTTTGTAACTTTGGTGGGTGGTATCGGGTACAATGTAACCACTGGTATTTCAAGGTATCGTCCTCATTTTTTACATACTCTCCATCGTATTGTTCGTGGTGAAAGTTATCCGATACGCTAGTATCGTCAACATCGATACTCTCATCCTCGTCCACATCCTCACCGCTGTTGTATTCGTCGCCCACCTCATCAGCGACTAAACGGCTATCGTCGAACGGGTTAGGTTTAGTTTGGTTTAGATCTTGAGTCTCGTCTTCGGACCGTAACCCTAGGATACGCTCTATCGAGAACTTAAGTTCCGGTTTTCTAGCCGGGGGCTCGGGTTCAAATCCCACCCGCGCGTTGTTTGTAGAATTTGAGAGATCTGTCGGTCGACAGTATCTTTGAAGTGTTGCATGATAAAACGGACCGGGTTCAATTCCTCTGAAGTCCGACATCATTCTCACCGTAGGCGATGTCGGTTCCGTCCTTGCGTATTTTAGGTTGAATGTATCCAAAGACACGCTCTGGGCGCGGTCTGGAGTATCGTTGGCTGACGAAGGCTTGATGTCGAAACTTGAATACGAATGCGAGATCATCTCCGAACAAACGGTACCACCCGGACACCTGCTCATCCGGACATTCAACCAACACCTAGACAGCGTTCGCGTAACTCATCTGCCACGGTGCAGCAATGTGCGTACTGTGCGTCGTTTATCACCGTCGGTGTGATGTGCGGCTGCTCATGATCATAACCGCGTTAATTACAAATCTTTTCATTACGGGGACGCTAATCACCGGGTCAGTTTTAATTAAAATTTTCTCCTTAATTAGAGTTCTCTTCATAAACGTTAAGTATTTCTTGCGGTGCTGTAGTGTAAGATTATGCGACACAATCGAATATATTCCTTTTTATGGCCGTGTGAGGTCTATAATTCAATGTGGGCGAAGTCTTAATATACGGACTTTAAAAAAAATTGTCTCCAAGTTTGAAGGAAAATTAGCACATACGTTTACAAGACAAGACACCTCATCAATGTCACCTGCGCAGGTTGGAATCAAACACCTGAAGTTCTAACACTCCCCATGTCTAGTTTTCTTGGAAGGGCGGAACACCACGTGACAGCGTTCAAGAAATCCCATTGGTCCACGCGCTGACAGCTCGCTGCCTACAGACACGCGCGATGGGCGGGGTTCCTGTTGCCGCCCCCTCCCTCCCCCAAGGTGGGGAGGGGGGGGGCTGATCTAGATGCAGTTGGTGGCGCCGATGATCAGGTTTGATAGGTGCCAGCGTCGTACGGGTCATCCATCTAGACATGGGGGTCGGCGAATGGCCGGAAGTTGAAAACCCCCACCAGATGATATCTGTGTAAAGAAAAAAAATAATATGGCGTCGTGGCGTAAGGTCTTTCACGCAGATTGTGTTGTGAACTCGATAGAATGATTGGCGTATAAGTTAGACGATCTACTCTCTACCCCTCAAGTCAGTGGTAGATGTAGACGGGTGTAGCGTTTCATTCGATAATTATTTTTACGGTCAATGAATAGAGGAGAGGTGTGAATGATAGCTTATAAATGAATATCATTCCGACTAAAAAAAAAACATAATTGTCGCGGTATTTGATAAATGGAAAACGAATATAAATAAATAAATAAATAAAACATTTACATTTTTTTTAAAGTTTTGATGCTATTTCTATACTTTCAAGTAGATTCTAATTGTATTGTAATCACATCATATTTTTTAAAGAAATAATTTATAAAATGTCTTTGGTGAAAATAAAATACCCGAGTCATATAATTTTAAACCTGACTCTCTAAATATACCCACGTTCTAGTAAGACCCTAACATCCTAACCAACCTTCAGTGGACAAAATCTTAAACCAGTAGCTCTAATGATGTCACAAAGTGATCTCATCACGGTTTGTATTACAAGCTATACAACATTCGCCTCTACCCTTGTTCACGCTTAAAGACAGCCATACAACACGGCCTTACATCAAGCTGTTCAGCTTGGTTAACCTTGCTATCATCCGCTCTACCGCTCGATCACCTGCATTCCACACTTGTAAAACATTCAATGCATTTTTCGATTTTAATACCAGGAGTTCCATATATCACAGGGGAAGTAGAGTTTACCTCTTTTTCCAAAAAAACGCGTTAGAGTCGACTTCGTTAAACACTGCCGCCGCTTCATTTTCCAATATAACGCCAGGTACTCATCTGGCCTGAGTGAGCCTCAATGATAAACATTAAAAAAAAAGATCTCCCGACCTGATTAGCATTCGAACCCATTTTTAAAACGGAGTGACGCTCATTTATGCCACCAAACGACCACACATCTTCTTCAGTTTTGCGATATTTAACCCCCCCCCCCCCCCCACGCCCAAATCTCCCTCCCATATCCCCCCCCCCCCCAAAAAAAAAAAAAAGACAACAACATGTAGGTGCAACGTTACTAATTAAGCTGTTAAAAAAAATTAAAATTTGTTATTTTGTTTTTTTTAATTACAAGCTTTTTCTTTAGTAACAATTTCTTTCCGTTTGTGTTTTTGTCACAATTTCTGTCCGTGTGTGTTGTTTATTTGTCAACATTTCTGTGCTTTTGAATTTTTTTTCACAATTTCTGTCCACCGAATTATAATAAAAAAAAGTCTTTCAAATTTCGTTTATAAGTGAGTTTCCGATGACACCGTCTAATTTTTAATCGAGTTTAATAGTAGATTAGTTATTAAAAATTAATTCACGATTTCTAAATTTAGTAGCAGACCGGGAGATAACTCGGTAACTCTATCAGCCAGGTGTTCACAAAAGTTGTGTACGTGTTTTATCGTCAAATTAAAATCTTTCAAACCGAAAGTTATTCTGTTATAATTTAAAAAATTAAATATCTTAATTTGTTTAAAAAGGGAATAATTGTTTTTTTCCCCAAACTAAAATAAAGATGTTTTAACAAATTAATTTTTATTTGCCAAATAGGCTAAATTCAGACAAGAAAATCTTTTTAATATACATGATTATAATTTATTGATTCTCATATCTCTGGATTAGGCAACGCATCTAGTAAACAAAGGGAATACTGAACAATAATTATATTATAAGGTATATATATATATATATATATATATATATATATATATATATATATATATATATATATATATATATATATATATATACACCTGTGTGTGCATGTATTTCTCTATATAGAACTATGAGTATTACTAGATGTTATATTGGAAAGTAAATTCAAGAATAAAAATAACGAGGGAGAGATTATGGAGGGATTTTTTATGTCACTAGTGCTTAAGCAGTTCATTATCATATTCGGTTCAAATCGTGAATTGAAAAAAAAAATTCCTTGGATGGGGATAAGGCGAGTATTAAACGCCAGTCAGCTTATTTGGTTTTACATTTTTACTTGATTAATTGTAGTCGCCATTACGTGCTTATAAATGATTGTTGACGCCATTTTAACAGTTTTAGTTATCACGCTGAAGGTTTCTTTCAGGCATCTCTTTGGGGTGGGGGACACCGCCCTCCCCCTAAACATGTTTATTGCCTCCCTCCCACTAAACGTCTACACCCTTCCCAACGAAATAGAATTGATATTGAAAATATACTTTTACCAGTGCCCGTCCTCCCCCCCCCCCCCCCCCCGGCCCGGAAAATTTAGTCAGGCCCTCTCAGGTTTTACGAGCCCCCCCCCCCACCCCTCTTGCCCCGGAGAAAAAAGTCTGAAAGAAACAAACATTGCTCACACTTAGTTAAACAATTTTTGTAATCAACAACTTCATCTAATCTTGTTATCTCCCCTCTAAACTTGCCTTGTCTTGCTTGTCCTATAAATCTATTTCAACATTTTTCTCACTTCGACTCTCCCAATATATTCCCCATCCCTCAAACACACTCCCACTCCCGCCCCCACCTCCACCACCGTAATTCCCCTGATGGACCAAGAGGATGCACCCGAGGTCGCTTTGTTCGGATTCGAACCTGTCACCACTCGGCAATTTGACCCGCCTACCGCATGGAAAACATGCGCAGGTTTTCTCGGGGGCCCGCGGCCATTTATCACCGAGAGAAAATTTCAGGGTATCAGCGCGCTGATGGCCCTCAATGTTGTCCCATTGAAACACGAGCCGCGCGCTTCTCCGCGGGTTTTCTTAGGGGTATTGCGTCGATTGGGAAAATCCGTTCAGTACGGTTCATATAATGGGGAAAATCCGTTGAATACATGTCCGTAATGGGAAAAATCCGTTGAGTCCATAAAAGCGATGAAAGCAGATAATGGTGCGATTAGCGTGGTTCGTTTAATTACGTATGGGTACTGGGTTATTAGACCTAACATAACTGGTCCACATTTTTTTCAATGGGTCTCGCCTTTATTTTCTCGACATACCCCGCTAACCCACTAGTACACAGCCAGAGTGCCGCATGCGCACTAACGGAGGTTTTTTTGTGCTCGCGGCAACGCATCTAATCCCCAGATGTAACAGCGATGTTGGTGACGTCTTTATATTGTATCGCGGTTGTACTACAATGAGATAGAAACATCAACATTGATGAATTAACTTGCTTTGAGTTCGGTATTGTTCGGAATACTTCGGTATCGTCCGGTATTGTGTGTATAGTTTCTCATTCTTCGGTATACTTCGGTCTAGTCCGGGATATTTGGGTTTAGTCAGGTATACTTCGGTGTATTCCGGTATAATTGGGTGTATTCCGGTATAATTGGATGTTTTCCGGTATGATTGGGTGTATTCCGGTATAATTGGGTGTATTCCGGTATAATTGGGTGTATTCCGGTAAAATTGGGTGTATTCCGGTATAATTGGATGTATTCCGGTATAATTGGATGTATTCCGGTATAATTAGGTGTATTCCGGTATAATTGGGTGTATTCCGGTATAATTTGGTGCATTCCGGTATAATTGGGTGCATTCCGATATAATTGGGTGTATTCCGGTAAAATTGGGTGTATTCCGGTATAATTGGGTGTATTCCGGTATAATTGGGTGTATTCCGGTATTATTGGGTGTATTCCGGTATAATTGGATGTATTCCGGTATAATTTGGTGCATTCCGGTATAATTGGGTGCATTCCGATATAATTGGGTGTATTCCGGTATAATTGGGTGTATTCCGGTATAATTGGATGTTTTCCGGTATGATTGGGTGTATTCCGGTATAATTGGGTGTATTCCGGTATAATTGGGTGTATTCCGGTAAAATTGGGTGTATTCCGGTATAATTGGATGTATTCCGGTATAATTGGATGTATTCCGGTATAATTAGGTGTATTCCGGTATAATTGGGTGTATTCCGGTATAATTTGGTGCATTCCGGTATAATTGGGTGCATTCCGATATAATTGGGTGTATTCCGGTAAAATTGGGTGTATTCCGGTATAATTGGGTGTATTCCGGTATAATTGGGTGTATTCCGGTATTATTGGGTGTATTCCGGTATAATTGGATGTATTCCGGTATAATTTGGTGCATTCCGGTATAATTGGGTGCATTCCGATATAATTGGGTGTATTCCGGTATAATTGGGTGTATTCCGGTAAAATTGGGTGTATTCCGGTATAATTGG